GTTACGCAGATTAGGTGGTCAGCGATATGAGATGATAAGGCAATCAGAAAAGAGGGCCCCAATGGAGGGATCATCCTGTAGGATGGAAAAGTTCTGGTTAAAGGTCCTGGGGATAGGAAGTGTGTTAGGGTGGTAAGGAAGCACCAAAGGAATGCGGTTGATGGTTCGGGGGTGTTTTTCGCTCGGGCAAGGGCCATACTTTGATGTATGAGGGAAGATCTTCTTGATCTGCACAGCACATACAGCCATCAAGCACACGCTGGACAAATGCACAGTGCTTGATCCACCCACCCACACCCTGGTACGCCTTGCAGAATTGGTCCTCACACTGAACGCATTCTCTTTCAATAATCTTTTTTACCAAAAGGTCAGTGGAGTTGCCATGGGCACCAGAATGGGACCCAGCTATGCCAATATTTTTGTCAGCTGGGTAGAAGAACACTTCTTCGCTTCCTACACTAGCTATGTCCCTGACCTCTACAAACGATATATTGATGACTGGGTCGTTGCCGCCACATGCTCCAATGATCAGCTTGAGTTATTCCTGCACCATTTCACCAACTTCCACCCGTCCCTCAAATATACGCTTAACATATCTTCCACTACTCTTCCGTTTCTAGACATCAACTTCTCTATCAACTACCCCCGACTATCCACTTCAGTTTATTACAAACCCACGGATTCACACAGCTACCTCCTGTACAGCTCATTTCACACCAACCACACTAAAAACTCTCCTCCTTTTTCACAGTTCCTTAGGCTCGACGATTATGCAGCGACGACATCGATTTCGAGAACCAAGCCCTCGAAATGTACTCCTTTTTTATCAACAGAGGATACCCCAGCAGTGTGATTGACAGGGCCCTTGCCTGAGCCAAAAACACCCCCCGGACCATCAACCCGATCAGGAACTCCCGCCGTAACAACCAAATTCCTTTGGTGCTTCCTTACCACCTTAACACACTTCCTATCCCCAGGACCATTAACCACAACTTTTCCATCCTACAGGATGATCCCTCCATTGGGGCCCTCTTGTCTAATCGCCCTATCATCTCATATCGCCGACCACCTAATCTGCGTAACCTCCTTGTTCACAGCTCCCATGAGCGCCCTCAACAACCATCCACACCAGGCACTTTCCCTTGCAACAAAGCTCGCTGTATCACCTGCAAGTACACAGCCACCACCACACTCATTTCACCTTTGACGGCCACGACCACTCTAATCTCTCCGCCTGTGTTTTTAAAGACGGTTTTCCGAACTCATACATCAGAAAGACCACCGAAACTAAAATTATTCTGCAGCTAGGATCACACATTCTCCCTTCTCTTAACAGACTACTGTTCTTTTAAATTTTCTCCATTCATTGGAAGTTTCATTTCACACCT